CCTGAATTATCTCTTGCCTGAGTGATGCTGTCCAGACACAAAATAGAGTCAACCTGTGACACTGACTGGGGGATGGTGGATTATGCCAGTTTGCAGTGATCTGTACTCCTTGGTTTACAAAAATATATTGGTCAAGCTCCTATTTTTATTAGCATATATTAATTGCACACACTAAGTTTCATTGTGACATTTTCATATAGATGTATATCCTTATATTTAACCCCTTATTTTAAAAGTAGCTTACATTAAGCTTATTACAAAGCTCATTGTTGGCTTTTTAAAATTAGCTTACATTAGTCATAAGAGCTTACCCCCTCATTTTCTTTTTTTAGGAACAGCCAGGGCACCATATGGCTCTCCATCTTGGGCAACTTCTGTGAGCTCATGCTTGTTATATCCCTTTAACGGAGACCCTAATATAGTCCCAAGGAAGAGTATCAACACTGCTTTCTGAAGTAGCTTTAAGGTGTCAACTATGGGGACAATAGCTACAAATACTGGAAACACAAGCATATTTGGAAGACTCATTTCCTTGGTGGCTTATGAATTTTATCTTCTCATTTCACATGTGCTTATCGGTGCCCTTTTTAAATTTAAATTTTATTATAAAGGTAATGCAGAGACTTTGCAGTTACTTTAGTAATGAGTGAGTACATTTCTTTTTTGAGCAGTGTTACTCAAGTAAGGTGGCTGAGCCTAAATTCCTTGCAGCCATCCTGGTGCCTAGGCAGAAGATGGGGGGCTATCTACCCAGCTCCAAGGCCTAGAGGTGAGACAAGCCATCCTTTGAAGTGCCTGGCTCAATGGGGTGAGCTAGGAGGGCTCTGCTTCAGAGAAATGCAGATGTTACCTTGTCTTGATGGTGGGGGAGGGTGACCGCCCCCCTCAAGTAATGGGCATACCTAGATCCCTGGAAACAGGAGCAGGCACATGGCTGATAGTTTGCTGAACTTGTCAGTCCAGTGCCTGGGACTAGAAATGCCCCATGAACCTGTCCTGTGCTCAGACTCTCTTTAGGCCTGGAGGAGCATAGGCACCAGAATGCCATGCCATGTGTGTCTCTGTGATCTTGTCCTGTGTCTTGCCTCCTGGCTCATCTCCAGTCATCATGGCATCCCAATTCAGTGTGCCATCAGCACTGGTTTGTTGGTATTGTTTTTGTTCTTTCTTTCCTCTCTGGCCTGTTTTCTAGCTGTGTTATCTGTATTTGGGGTCTGTAGGCCTTTGCTACAATGGGCTGCCTACAGCCTACTATATAATAAAGACTCCAAGATACAAGAAATGTACTCATTACTTACGTAACTGAAACCCCTCTGTAAATCACCTTGACAATAAAAAAATATTCAGCTTACAAAACAAAAAAAGACTCCAAGGGGCTGGGAAGGTGGCTCAGTGGTAGAGCGCTTGTCTTGCATGCATGAGGCCCTGGGTTTGATTCCTCAGCACCACATAAGCAAAAAGAAAAAAGCCGGAAGTGGCGCTGTGGCTCAAGTGGTAGAGCGCTAGCCTTGAGCTGAAGAGCTGAGGGACAGTGCCCAGGCCCAGAGTTCAGGGCCCACGACCGGACCCCCAAAAAGACTCCAGGATTCCATCTTCCAAAGTGTGGCTTCTCTGATAATTTACCTTACAACATTATCCCCTTCCTCATTTTTTCTGGTTTCTCATTAAATCATATAAATCTTTCACCTTTTAATATAGATGCCCCTTTATAAGCAGCTTCCAGGCAAGGGCCATCTCTTTTTGATTATCTGCAATGGTAGGGAAATTGCTTTTGGATAGCTCTGACTCTTAAGTCTTCCTTTATTTACACTGAAATCTGTCATATGAGGTGACCAGCTGGAACTGTCCTATTTTAACACTTAGTATATTTGGTCACTGCTTCTACTCTTCTGTTCCACCTCATCTCCATCTTAGATTATGTAAAAGTGCCTTTTTTTCTTTCAAATAACATCCATGTTAACATGTAAGGCACATTCCTCTTGTGTATGATCATTTTCACCTGACATACTTAGATTGCTTAATGTCCACTGGTAAGTGTAGGAAGCATTGCCCCCTTTTTAGGGAGGAGCTCCTGTCTCTACCCACATTTCTACAGATGAGGGTCACTCTCTATGGGGGCAGACTGAGTGTGAACAGTTGTTTCTCCATTCCCCCTTTTCTCTCATCTTGCTGAGAAGAACTGCAGCTGACCTAGTTGTTGAGATGTTCTTTAGGTAAAGGGCTTCACAATGGTTAGGATTAATTTACTTCCAAAATGGCTTTTTGTCTCTTTCATTGACTTTAGCTTCACGGATCTACACGTGTCCTTGCTTGTTGGTTTTGTTTTGTTGTTTTATCTGTTGTTAGGATTGAACTCAAAGACTGGGCACTGTCCCTGAACCTCTTTGTGTTCAAGGCTAGCACTCTACCACTTGAGCCACAGTGCTACTTCCGGTTTTCTGGTGGTTAATTAGAGATAAGAGTCTCATGGACTTTCCTGCCTGAGCTGGCTTCAAACTGCAATCCTCAGATCTCAGCCTCCTGAGTAGCTAGGATGACAGGTGTGAGCCACCAGTGCCCAGCTATGGGGTTTTTGGTGTTTTTTTTTTTCTTTCCATTTCTCATGAGCAAAAATTGCTGTGTTTTATAAGCATAGCAAGAGCAGTTTTAATAGTTATTTTATAAATATTATAACACTAAGCATGTGTGGAGGTGCATGTCTAATTCCAGCACTCTGGAGGAAGAAGCAGGTAGATCAGGAGTTTGAGGTTACCCTAAAGCACATAGCAAGACTCAGTCTCAGGAAGCAGACAAAAATTACGCTATCTTTTTCATACTTGCTTCATTGATTCTAGAGGGAGGAAGCAGAGTAGTGAGAATTTTTTGTTTTGTTTTGATGCTGTTGGAATGAAATAGGCATGTCTTACATGTTAGGCAAGTGGTGTATCACTGAGTTATATCCCATGCACTTAAAAAAATTACTAATAACATTGAGACATAATACTAATTCACAAACTAGTAAAATTCACAAATGTTGCATATAGTTTGAGTTGTTGGTTTTTTTGTAGTTGTTGTTGTTCATGGGGCTTAAACTCACGGCCTGGATGGTATCCCTGAGTTCTTTTGCTCAAGGCTAGCACTCTACCACTTTATGCCACATTTTCATTTCCAGTTTTCTGGTAGTTAACTGGAGATAAGAGTCTTACAGTCTTTTCTGCATAGGCTAGCTTCAAACAGTAATCATCCAATATCAGTCTCCTAACTATAGGCATGAGCCACCAGCACCTGCTTAGTTTGATGAGTTTTGACAAGTATTGTTTTCCTATGGAATCAGGTAGACCTGATTTCTTTACATTATAAAGGAGTTAGGGGGCTAGGATGTGGCTTACTGGTAGAGTGCTTGCCTAACATGCATGAAGCCCTGGGTTCGATTCCTCAGCACTACATAAACAGAAAAAGTTGGAAATGATGCTGTGGCTCAAGTGGTAGATTCCTGGCCTTGAGCAAAAAGCAGCTCAGGGACAGTGCCCAGGCCCTGAGGTTCAAGCTCCAGGATTGGCACAAAAAAAAAAAAAAAAGTTAGGCCAGGCAGGTGCCCTTGGCTCATACCTGTAATCCTAGCTACTTGGGAGGCTGAGATCTGAGGATGACAGTTGGACGCCAGCCCAGGCAGTCAAATCCTAGTGACCCTTATCTCTTAATCAACCACCAAAAAGCTGGAAGTAGAGCTGTGGATCAAGAAGTAGAATGCTAGTCTTGAACAATAACAAAAAAAAAGTTAAAGGATAGCGCTTGACCCAAGTTCAGGCCCCAAGATGGGCACCCACACACGCACACACACACACACACACCACACGCACACACACACGCACGCACACACGCACGCACACACACACACAGCAGTTAGGCTCTAGAGGTAGAAATTTTTTAATGATGGCCTTGTTTTTTTTTAAAGAGCTATTTTTTCTCTTCCAGCTGTTTACCATGTGAAGATATAAGATGGCCACCTTAAACCAGAAGACCCTAAAGGCCTTTGATCTTGAACTTCTAGTCTATAGAAATGTGAGAAATACATTTCTAAGCCACACAGTCAATAGAAACTGTTAGATCTGAACTAATACACTTTCTTTCAATAAAAGTCCCCCTCCTCTTTTGGGACAGTCCTGAGGGCCTTTCTAGGCAGTTGATCTACTGTGCCATGACTCCAGCCAGTTGTTTGAGATAGTCTCATTTCCTGACTTAAACATGCTTCTGGACTAGAATCAGGCTATTTTTTTTTTTTGCTAAAAATGGCAGTTGTGAGGGCAAGTATGCATCACTATGCCCACTTTCTTCCTTAGAGATAGAATCTTGTGGACTGGTTGGCTTGGAACTGTGATCCTCCAAATCTAAGCCTTCTACATGACTGACATGACAGGTTAAAGCTACCGTAACTCAGCTATTGGTCGAGAAACTTTTGCATGTATGCCCAGACTGCCCTCACACTGCAATCCTCCCAGTCTCAACCTCCCAAGTAGCTAGGATTATAAAAAAGGAACCATTTGCACCTGGCCTAGTTACCCCTTAAAGGATAAAATCACTAGGTCTAGAGGTGTTCAGTGGTATAGCATGTATTTTGCATGCCTGAGTGTTTAGATTTTTCCCCAGCTCCCCTGCTCATCCTCCCCCCCCGAAAAAAAAAAGAACTTACATCCACTTAGATTACCACCTCTTTTTAAGGATAGGGCTAAATTATCAATCTGATTTTTCAAATTTACAATCATCACAGAACTTAGAAGGGAGAGGGAAAGAGATAAAGAACATATGATGAGGTAGGGAGAAACAGAGTATGTACGGGTGCAGATTATGCAGGTTCTTGAAGGTCATGAACAAAGTCATTAGTTTTAAAAGAGAGGCTGTATTATCTAACATATTTTAAAATAAGGATCCCTCTGGTTGTTCTGTGAATAAGCCATAGGAATAAACATGGAAACAGTTTAACAGAAGGGAGGTACATGTGTTTACTAAAAGACAGACACAAAACTTTTTATAGTAACTTTATTCATAATGACCACAAACTGGAAACAATCCAAATTTCCATCAACATTAGAATGGATAAACTGTGGTACAGTCATACAATGGAATATGACACAGAGTCAAAAAATGAACTGCTGCTACAACATGGATTACTCTTGTAGACAAATGTTGAACAAGACACAAAAGAGTGCATGTAATTATTTTACTTACAGTTTTAAAACAGGCAAAACTTATGGTGATAGAAGTCAGAATAGCAGTTATCTTTGTATGAGAGGCATAAGGGCACCTACTGGGGCAACAGAATTATCTTCTACCTTGGTCTGGTTGATGCATTCATGGGTGTACATAAAAATCCAGAGTACACATGCAATGTCTCTAAACTTTAATCTCAATGGAAAAACAAACCAAAATTAAATATAAGGAAATTATATAAATAGGGCGATAAAATCATGTCAATCAGTATTGTCTGGGTTTTTCTGCCCTTGAACTTTGGGTGTGGCCATGTGCTTTAAGGGTCTAGAAGTTATTTCCCTAATTTTTTTATTTCTCAAGGTAAGCAGCATACTTTGGTGGTATCTGCTTGTCAGCCTGAGCCCCAGAAGGACAATTTAGATTAGTGAAGTCTTTTCTGCAGAAGGGTCACAAAGTAAATTTTAGGTGGGACAAAACACTGTCAAAACTAATCAACTTTGCCACTATGGGGCAAAAGCAGCCAAAAACAGTTCATAAATACACAATACTATATTCCAGTGAACTTGATTTGGAGAAATGTGAAGCAGGATGGAGTTGTCAAGCAACCCCTTCCTAGAACAAAATCTGTAGTCAAGCTGCAAAGTGTTTGCACACTAAAAATTTGTAGTTGTTATCCCATCACAACATGATAAATTAGTTTTCCATCCATAAAAGAAGTAAAATAACAGAATCTACTGTCTCAGTGATCAGCTGACAGGCATTCATGAAAATGCCACTGGAGGATAAAGAAATAACTTACATAGGGTAATTCATTAAGGAGAGGTTAAACTGTTACTTGAGATGATGAAAGCAGGTAATCTACCCTTTATGAAAGAAAATCAATTTTGCTGTTGGCTGCATTAGATAATACGAAGAGATGAACCCAGACAGTAATGGGTCAGCTTACAAACAGAAACAAAAAAGAATAGAGAATTTATAAAGTCAAGTACAACTCAAAAGGAGGCAACTTTTCACTTACAAGACAAAAATGAGAAATCCTATAACTCCAAGGTTCACTAAAACCTAGCTTTGCAACAAGAATAAAATCAATGGATGACTAAGATACCTCTGTCAAGATCTCTGAGTTAAGGCTGTGACACCAGTTAAATCCTGTAAAATGGGAAAAAGGCTTCAGGAAAGAAACAGAGTCTGGTTCTCCTACTTAAGACTGAAAGTTTCCACTGACCCAGAGATTAAGTTCAGAGAGACATGGGAACAAAAAAAGCAAAGAAATAAGCAAATCTAAAAATGCATGTTAAATAGATACTATTTTGGGGTTGTCTCCTGTACGAGGTGATGAGGGCATTCTGCAGGTAGGAAAATAAGAGAACTGACCAGAAGGGCTGTTGTTCTTCTAATATTTTGTTAAATTTACTTACTTTTAAATTCCAGAAGAGCCAAAAATCATCTGCAAAGGAAAGTAGAAAGTAAATAGCAAGGCATTTTCTCCTAGGGTTGATGCCTACAAAAGGAAAAACGGATGTTAGCTCTTATGAGGTACTGTCTTTTTCTAATACTCAAGTATTTTCTTAGTTCAATCTAAGTAGTTGTCCAGTGTTTCACCTCTATATGTAGGTGCCTTTGGAAAAAAATTAAGACTTTATGTCATGGATATACTTAATATTACAGTGTAGATTTATGTGAGTACACCTGGTTTGAATGCTGACTACTCATTATGGTTACTAGGGAAAATTGCAATCTCAGTTTGTTTCTTAACAACGTTCACATATTTAAACCACATGCTAAGTACTGCACAAAATTCTGGAAATACAACAATAAGGTCCCTAGTCACAAAGAAGCTTCATTTTTAATCGCAAATATGTAGCTAACATCTATCAGCCAACAGGCAGAATGACTGTGAAGGTCAAATGAGTCTGTGAAAAGAGATTCAAAGATTAGAAAACACTACACAAATATTTATCTGCCCAAACATTTACTGGAATGCCAGGCATTGTGCTAAGCACTAGATATATAATAGTGAGCAAGGCTTACATTGGTCCCCTGCTCTTATAAAGCTTACACCTAACAGTAATCAATTAGCAGTAACAAGTGTTAAAAGTATGGCTAGGGAAGCACAGGGGACTTAGGGAGTGTATGGTCAGGGCATGTAACCTAGAAGCTTCTGTGATCAAATAGAATGTAAACTGAGATCTGAAAGATGAACAGAAATTTGTATTGTATTCTAAGACAATGGTGAAAGCAGCACAGTAGAATGACCAGAGTGACTCAAATTTTTAGCTTGGGTCAGGGCAACTAGATGGCTGGCAGTGATGCCATTTTACTGAAGAAAAGGAAAATTAGAGGGAGAGTAGTTTTGGGGACAAGATATTGATGTGTTATGGTGAGTATAAGACAACAAAGTGGATTTATGTTAGCAATTAGACATAGGATTTAGCAAAAATCTCAAAAGGAGATATGAATTTGGGAGCATCTTCATATAGACAGTAACTCAAGCCGTGGAAGGAGAAGAGATCAGCTAGAGAGGCAATGGGAGACAAAGCAAGGAAGATTAATCAGGCACCCAGAAAAAAAAAAGACAAAAGTTAAAACAACTCTTCTAAGATATACATAAAAGAAGAGGTTCCAGAAAGTAAGACTGAGAAAGTCCAACTGCAGCAAGAATATCCTCGAAGCTAAAGTAATCAAGTATTTGAAGAAGCATAAGAATATTGACAAAATCGTATGAGCTTGGTAGAACAGTGTAATGGCACTATGGAAGAGTGAGAAAGCCATTTTTCAAGAAAACTGATGAGAATGGGAGAAACAGGAAAGTAACTGGTAAGGACACAGATTTTAAAAAGTGGCACTTAACTATATTCACCAATACCACAGGACCAGTAACAACTATATATTTATAAAAAAGAAAAAGAAAAAGAAAAAGCGACTGCCATGCAGCTACAGAATTACTTAATACAGGAAACAGTAAAACACATTTTTTTTTTTACAAACAAGACTAGTTATAGCAAATTCTCAATTACTGAGGGTCAGTTTTTAAAATCCTTGGTTTATATCTTCCCCCACCCCACTCAGTGACTATATAATGCGAACTAATTTTATTATCACCTTAAGCAAAACATACTACAACTTCACAAAATATACACAATTTCAGTATTTGGGGAACTAAGATTAGAAAGCAGAAGCAGCTTTCAATTCTTCCAATTTTTCTCTCAAGTAATAAAGCATTTGCTGCAAAAGACAATACACAAAGCTATTGGAAAATTACCGGTAGACTTTTCTGTTCAGTTTTCACTGTGCAGACATTTAAGTTTACTCTTTGCTAATAACCATGATAGCTGGTCAAAACCACTTCTTTTTCTGCCTTAATTTTGTTGAACAGGACAGAACCTTTTAATCTGATTCAGTATTAATTACTGACTTATTAATGCTTTTGTGAGCTACTGGAACTTATAAATATCTTTAATACACTCCATCAGCCAAATGGGGAATGCCTACCAAATATACCATCAGCTTCTACCGGTAATTTGCCCTGTCCCTTGAAATAAGATAATGTACAATGGAGGGAGTCTACTGGCACTTTGGGAGGGATAATTCTTCATAGTACCAGGATATCCTGTGCACTGCAGTAGGAAAGGATCTTAAGTGCCAGCAGAACCCTCTAGTAAATATGACAACCAAAAAGGTGACCCTATACATTTTCCAGAATCCTCTGGAAGGGTATTGCTTCTGGTTGAGAACCATTGATCCAACTTTGGCTTAGGTTCTTACAGACAGCATTTATTTAGTCTACTTATGACATGCCAGTTCCTTCTAAATTCCTGATTGTATCCTGGTTCCTTGAATTTGCTGGATATGTGAAAACAGAATAAGCTGTACTACTCAAGATAGGATTTAGTAGTACAAGAGTTTCAAATTGTGCATGAGGATCTTTGAGTTACAAATTGGGTCTGTTTTTACATCAGTTTTAGATATTGGGCTTTACTGTAAGATTGCCTTTTCACAGAATAAATCTGAGAAGTACTGTTGTAGATATCTTGCTAGAAATAAAGAATTACTGAAATCTGTGAATAAGGCTGCATCTTGGGATGTGAATATTCATACTTGTTGCACTGTCTTAATTACTGAATGTGTAGCAAAGTTCTAAATTCTAGAATAAATCCATTTCCAGCAGCTAACAAAATCTGACATTGTATCATTTTAAAATAAATGGTTTCCATTAAACACATTTTTTAAATAAAGTATTAACACTCATGCAGATAAAACAAATAGGAAAGTATCTCACAACTCCTGAAGTACAACAATCTTTTCCTCACTCTTTGATTAGGCCAATCTTCTGTCTAGAATGAAGAAAAAGAATTACTAACTGCCAATCAAGATTCTATACTTACCATAGTTCTTTGATAATATATTGGCTGATAAAACAGCCTCCAGTTGTGAAAAATCCAGGGGAAAGCCCCAATAGTTGGTTATTCTTATCTCCAAATTGTAGGAAGCCTCCTAAATCAGCAATTTAAAAATAATTCTTGCTCCCCTGGCTAAGTTTTGATTACCTCCTCCATTAGTAATATCACTGGGATGGGAGAAGCTAAGAGGGAGAAAACTGGTCAATATTTACCTCAGACTCAGATATATATGTTTTAAAAAAATAGTCTCAAAACATTTTGTTAAAATACTTCCACTGTATCTAGTTGTTCCTTTTCAGAAAACACACGAACTTGCTACATGAATATCTGCAAATTGGTTCAAACACACACTTATGGAGTTGATCGTTTCAGACTATATCAGAATTTTTAACACTTTGTTAAGAGCTAAAATTTTTGGCATGTATCTTCTGAACACCTTAAAACTATGCTTCTAACTCACAGTATCAATACTAAACTTACTGAAAATCAATTATACCATAAAAACAAGGACTTTGCCATTAAACTAAGTTTTTAAAAAAGGTGGAATTCTCATGTTTCAGTCCCACGCTGCCAGATAAGATGGAAAAAGGCAACTTTCAGAAGGACTTGAATTGTGATCTATTTGGACATCTTGTAGTAAATTCAGTGTTTTCCAACAGTCCAAATTAGTAACTTGAAAAAAAATCAAATTTTTGCTTTTAAAATTGAATTCTTGTTTCACTGTTGTACTACAAAGGTTTATGGACTTGCTTCACTTCTCTCTCTCACAAGGTCATCCCAGCCGGGATCCATTTCAGTTGTGGCGACTCGAAACAGGGCTTGGAGATGCTCATCTGTCAATGGCTGGCTCAGTGTGTGCTGGTTTCTCGTCAAATATGAGAAAGCCTTTTCACATATTTGGCTACTATCAAACAAGGATGCCACCTTATAGGCAACGCCTTTGATAATTGGGTAAGATTCAGCAGACAGTCCGGCATAGAACTGCCCCAAGTCTTTGACTCTGTATTCATTCCAAAGATCAGTGTTTGCCTGAAGCTTGGTTAACTCCACTCTTACTGAAATAGGTGCATATTCAGGCTTGAAGTTAAATGGATTTGAAAACAGTTCTAAGTCCTTTTTAATGAATCTGAGGTCCTTAAAATGTCTCTCAAAATCTTTTTGTAGGCGGCAAATCACCATTTGATAACGGTCGGGATCAAATATTCTGTGATCTTCCTTGAACTGATGTCTAAGCTCATCAACAACTTTGCTGAAGGCAGGAAAGTCTGTTAGATTATCTTCCTCCATATGCCGGTGCAATAAATTCAGCTTACCCTCAAATGCACAAATGCGGTCAAAGGCAGCAGCAGCAAAGACTTTAGTAAGTTGCAATTCTTCACTCAGTTCTCGAAGGTAGTCCATAATATCTACCAAGAAGCCAAAGTCACAAAGCCACTGCTTGTCTGAGAAATGGACTGTTGTGGCTCCGACTGAAACCAAGAATGCTTCTATTTCTCTTCTCAGTGCAAATACTAGTTTTAAAGTTTTCCCTCTTCTGAGCCAATTGTTCAGACATCGTCCATTAACCCTTTCGCCATGCTCAGATTCAGACTCAGTTAGTAAAGGCTGAAACTCGGGTCGCCTCACTCCTCTGGTCTTGATCATCACTATCCACTCAGATATGGTATTTATGATCTGATTAACATCTACATCGTAAGAACTCAACAGTTCCAAGTGAAGAAATCCTGAATAGTGGATAACATTCCAACAGTTGGGGCTTACAGCCTTTTCTCTCATGTATGAGACCAGTCCTGAGTTCTCACCAATCATTCTTAAGGTATGGGTGGTGGTCAGTCCAACCATTCGCTGCAAGCTGAGCCCTGCCGTCTGCAGGGCCTCTAGAATTGCCGCCATGAGCGCCCCAACACTGAAGTGATGAGTCAGATTGATCATGGTCAGAAGATCTTCTTGCACCTCCAAGTCGTGGTCCACACCACGAATAAAGACCAGGAGGTAATTCTCATAGGCCACAAAAGCCTGATCGTCCAGTGCAAGAGAATAGGCTTTGAAGTTTCTGGCTCGGCTATAAAGCTGACTGCGTAGGTTGCTGTCAATGCTCAGAATCCTCTGCCTGGTAATCTCCGGAGACAAATCAATGCCTTCCAGAACGCCTATGTGATCCGGCAGCATCTCTCTCAGCAACACCTCCATGCACTGGTATACAAAGTCTCCCTCCGTCCAGCCGCGACCCCTCAAGGCTAGCAGGCGGCAGAGCCCGAGGCCTGCACGTATAGCTCTCTCCTCGGCAGTGAACGCAGCTGCCACCGACAAATCACCCTGACGCAGACGCTCCACTAGGGCCGCACGCTCCTCCTCCCCCACAAACCGCTCGTAGAATTCGTGCTCGGCCTCGTAGTGGCGCCTGACGTCGCGTTCTCGGGTGGAAGCGACAAGGCGGTGACATACCAGGCACAGGGCTCCGTCTCCCTCCGGGGGTTCCACCACCAAGTAACGCTGGGTCCACTCGGGCCGGAAAACGAGAGCTTCGTCGACTTCCATTCTAACCCTTTTGGGCGTCATCCACATTCTGCGGGAGGCCACAACAGCAGACCGACCTCGAGCAGGCCGCAAGACGAAGGGAGGAGCCCGACCAGCGCCAAGCACCTCCTCTGCTCTGCGCCAGATCACCCGAGCTCCGAACACCAGCCCCTGCCACAGCAACTCCCTTCCTATTGGCTAGAGATTTCGTATTCACTGAAACTCGTAGGCGTAAGCCAATAGAAAGAGCGATCGGCGAACTGTACCGCGCAAGCGCACAGTCTTATAGCTTAGTGGACTGCAGCCCCTTTAAGGCGGGACAAGGAACCCCAGGAAGTCGGTTGTCGTAAAAGCCCAGAAACTTGAGTGATATTCCAGTCATCCAATCAATAGCTGCCACTGGAGGGTGGCGCAGGATAGCGTAAACCAGGACTGAAGGAAGAACGTGAGCACGAAGGACTGAAGTGATTGGCTGATGGCCTTCCTGGCGAAAAGGCAGCCGTGACTTCAGCGCCTCCCGCGCCAAAATGGCGCTTGTTACGGGAATTATCCGGCGTCTGGACGAGACTGTGGTAAACCGCATCGCGGCAGGGGAAGTTATCCAGCGGCCGGCTAATGCCATAAAGGAGATGATTGAAAACTGGTACGGAGAGAGTAGAGCTGAGGATCGCTTTAAAGGCTACGACTTAACGGGCCGCTGCTCGGCGTGGCGCGACCACGCCCCCTTGCCGGCGGGTACGGCGCATGCTCGCAGGGGCGGAGGCCGCAGGGACGGGTGTTCTCCCCGCACCCTTTCCCGGCCTGTTCCGATTTTCCGCGCACTTTCTAGATTATTCCGAGCTCCGAGTGCACGTAGAAGGGTGGACTTGGTATTGCTTGAATGGTGCCCTTAGCGAAGGAAGCTTCTTAACTTAAAAACTGCAGAAGATGTGAGATGAAGCATGTATAAACGTTGGTGTGTGTGGGGAACCATCTTTTTCAGCGAATACCATGCTAATCAGGTTCTCGCGTATTCGCTCCAGAAATAATACACGCATAAAGGCACAGTTCCTTTTATTCAAATAACTCGTTTGAGTTTTAAGACAGGTGAATGGTATTGGGGATTTAATTTCTGATGCCCATTAAGGCCAAATTAGTGACTCAGTGTTTTCAGGCCCCTTACTTTGGGGCACTGAAACGCCCCTGACGTCATGGGGCCTGCGTGATTCTGAAGCTTAGGACTGTCACGTGGAGGAACGCAGAAACGTGAAAAGAAAAAAAAAAAGGTTGACGTGAAAAGAAAAGAAAAAGGGTGTGGATTGCAAACCTCGGGGGGGGGGGGAATACCCAGGTGCCTAAAAAGTATGTCCGTTTTTTTGGATTAAAATTGGTTTATGTTAAGGTAGTCGGTACATTGTTAGAAGAAAAAAAATAAAACCTTCCAATAGAAGAGTTTCAGGTTGAGAGGTTTGTTGGGAAAACAGACCATTCAGAGTAATAGGATTGAAAGAACCGTGTGTCAGAAAGACCACAGATGGACAGAAAATGATTTAAAGCGTAGACGAAGAAGCAGGGAACCTGAGGGACATTTTTCTCCATTTGATTTGACTTAACTGTCATAGGCTGGCTTCTGTGTATACAGTATTTAGAATTAACTTGACAATAACTCTAACACTCACATATGGATAAACAGAACATGAATCTAAAGAGCTAGTTAGACTGGGCGCCGGTGGCTCACGCCTGTAATCGTAGTTACTCAGGAGGTTGAGATTTAAGGATCACAGTACGATTCCAGCCACTAAACCACCTTCCCAGCCCCTTGTCTTATAAGAATTTTCTGTGAGGAATGTCCATAACTTCCCTTTTTCATGCAGGCCCAGGCTGAAATAGTTCTCCCCAGAATATGCACTATGCTTAGAGTATTCCAGGAAATCACAGATTTATTGGTCTCCTAACATACTTTTTGCACTGATGTTTTTTTCTTTCCTTCATCATTTAAAGAAAAGGTAATAGTGATTTTTTTAAGTACATTTATCAGAGTCACATAGAAACCAGAGACTGAATAAAGTTGAAATAACAGTAAAATTAGTTTGAAAAAACGGTAATAAAGAGGTGTGCTAAAAGGACAAAGGAACCTACTTCCTACTTCCTTTTTTGGGGGGGGGTGCCAGTACATGGCTTGAACTCAGGTTTTCATGCTCTTGCTTGGCTTTTTTGCTCAAGACTGGTGCCCTACCACTTGAGCTGCACTTGAGCCACTTGTAACTTTTTTTCCCCCCTGGTCCTGGGGCTTGAACTCAGGGCCTGGGCTCTGTCCCTGAGCCTCTCTGTGCTCAAGGCTAGTGCTCTGCCACTTGGAGATAAGTCTCACAGACTTTCCTGCCCAGGCTGGCTTTGAGCCCCAATCCTTAGTTCTCAACCTCCTGAGTAGTTAGCTAGAATTACAGGCATGAGGCACCTGCACCTGACCACTTCTAGCTTTTTGCTACCAAATTAGAGATAAGAGGCTGGCCTCAAACCAAAATCCTCAGATCTCAGTCTCTTGAGTTCCTAGGATTACAGGTGCAAGCCACCAACCAGCCTCTGGCTTACATCCTACTCTAACTTTAGTTTTTTTGGGGGGTGCAGTTCTGGGGCTTGAACTCAAGGCCTGGGCATTGTCCCTGAGCTTTGGTGCTCAAGGCTAGTGCTCTAACACTTGAGCTCCAAATTCTGTCATTTTTTGGTCCTTAATTGGAAATAAGAGTCTCACAGACTACTGCCTGGGCTGCCTTCAAACCTCCATCCTCTGTTCTCAGCCTTCTGAATAGCAAGGAGTAGAGGCATGAGCTATCAATGCCCAGCCTAGTAGAACAGAAATAATGCTGAGTGTCCTGCTGGAAATGATCATTGTTCTGCCCCTCTCATATAATATTTAAATTCATACAATTACGACATTGAGCCTATAAGAAAAAGGAGCACAAATTAATCATAAACTCATCCATGTGTAGTTTGTTATTATTCCTTGGCTCTTTATTAATTAACTGTGTATATTAGAATAGGTATAGACTGATAAAATATTTTCTCTATTTGCTAGTTTAGATGCAAAATCCACAAATATTCAAGTGGTTGTTAAAGAAGGAGGCCTGAAGTTGATTCAGATCCAAGACAATGGCACTGGGATTAGGGTAAGTAAAACCTCAGAGGAACAGGATATTTGTGTGCTTCAGGAAGAAAGTACGATGTTTGTGTGTTCTGTAGGAAAAGGCAGACCTTTTACTATTCTGATAACTGTAGATTTTTGTATATGGGAATTGCTGACTGAAAAATTCAACACCAACCATCATTATATATTGTGTACATATTCTATGCTGGACATTTTATGGGATAGTAGTAAATAAAATGGATGGTGCTTCCATTTTAATAATGGGATAAAAACAATAAACAGACAGAAGATAAATAGCATGTCAAATAGCATGGGGTGTGGGGTGGGATGCAGTCTCAATGCTTGGAATGCTTTAATATGGATATGTTATTTAAGGGAGTACTGATGCAGATAAGGAACCAGTCATGAGACTGTTAAAGGAAGAATGTCCCAGGCAGGGAGAACAATAAAGGCAAAAGCCATGAAATAGAATCATATCTAAGATGTTTAAAGATCAGCAAGGAGTCCAGCGGGAAGAGCAAAAAAAGAGTAACAAGATAAAGTCTGAGAGAGAACATATTAGACCTCATGGATAATCTTTGGAATTAGTAAAATCTTAGCTTTAACTGTGATTGTACTGAGATACCACTTGAGGATACTGCTAGAGGGCTTTTTTTCCCCTCCCATCTCTAGGATGTTGAAGTTTGGGCCTTGTGCTGGCTAGGGAGGTACTCTACTGCCGAGCCACACTTCTAGCTTTTTTTGACTGGTTATTTTTTAGATAAATTCTTGCTTCTGGCCTAGGTGTAGGTTCTCTCTTCTGGCCAGGTGTGTGCCCAGAAGGTGATTTGCCTATTTTAGACTTCCTGTCATGAGATAACAGGTGCATGGCATTGTACTCAAGACTTAATTGAGAAGAGGGTCTTTTCTACCCAGGCTGGCCTCAAACCACAGTCCTTCCAAGCTCAGTCTCCCAAGCCACTGGCCCTTGGTCAACTAGAGTGTTTTAAGCAAAATAGTACATATTGGGTGAGTTGTATAAAGTGACCTTTTGTCTTCTATGTGAAAAATAGACTCCCAAAGGTCAGAGTAGATGATGATGATGCCTAGGACTAGTTTGATTGCAGTATAGATGCAATAAGCACTGAGACTCTGAGTTAAATCTGAAGGCAGCGAGTACTTTTCAGAATTTGCTGGTGTAGGGTGTGAAAGGAGAAATCAATGATTTCAAACTTTCCCCCTATGTAAATTATGAAAAGAATTGCCATTTGCAAAGATGAGAAATACTATGGAAGAAATCAGTTTAGTGGAAGAGTGAGAAGTTTATTTGTGGGTATGTATGGGTATGTAAATCTAAGATGCCTTTTAAGATGTGCTTGAGTCTGGAGTGCAGTGGAGAGACTTATAGGCAAAAATCTCAGACTTACCACATTTTAATACTACAGAAAATCATGGGAAATGCAAATATAAGCCACAATAAGATGCTACTTCACATCTATTAAGGTAGCTGTTATCAAAACCTACTAAGAGAAAAACATCTTGACATGATTATATAATCTTCAAATTTTTGTTAAAATCTCATTTATTGGAAACCATGCATTTAATAAAATCTTTTTTTTTCTTTTTTTCTCTTCTTTTTTCCTTTTTCTTCTTTCTTCTTTCTTTTCTTTTTTTTTGGGGGGGGTCTGGTCATGGGGCCTGAACTCTGGGCCTGGGCGCTGTCCCTCAGCTATTCAGCTCAAGGCTAGCTCTCTACCACTTGAGCCACAGTGCCACTTCTGGAATTTTTCTTTTTGCTTATGTGTTGCTGAGGAATCGAACCCAGGGTCTCATGCATGCAAGGCAAGCGCTCTACCACTGAGCCACCTTCCCAGCCTTTTATGATTCTTCCAGAAAAAAAGATAGTTGTTATCAATTACATAAAATAACAGGTGGTGTTGAGAAAGAACTGATGGCAATATAAAATAGAGTTAACTATTATAGCAAATAGTATGGTGATGCCTCAAAATTTAGAATTATTATATAGTCCAACAATTCCATTTCTATCAGTGCCAAAAATGGACGAAGAGACTTAGGTGGACATTTGTGCTTCATATTCATAACATTATTACATATAGTAGTCTAAAGGTAAAAGCAACCATGGTCAATCAGTGGATGAATAAACAAAATGTGATATATATACACACACACACAGAGAACAATATTGAGCCTTAAGAAAGAATGAAATTTTTCCTCTTCTTTTTTTTTTTGTCAGTCATGGGGCCTGAACTCTGGGCCTGGGCGCTGTCCCTGAGCTCTCCAGCTCAAGGCTGGTGCTTTACCACTTCTAGCTTTTTCTGCTTATGTGGTGCTGAGGAATCGAACCCAGTGCACATAAGGCAAGCACTCTACCACTGAGCCACCTTCCCAGCCCAAGAATGAAATTTTGGTACTTGCTTCAACATGGTTTAACTTTGAAGACATACTAAGTGAAATAAATCAGTCACAAAAGTACAAATACGAAGCTCCTAAAGTAGCCAAATTCAGAGACAAAAAGTAGACTGTCATGGAGTAGGGGGAAAGAGGGAGAATCTAGAGTTATTGTATAGTAAGTTAAAAAATTCAGTGTCTAGAGTTATTGTGTAATGAGTACAAAAATTCAATGTGGGTTAAGATGCAAATTTTGTTTCATAAATTTTACTAAACTTTAAAAAGTTACCTGGAGATTGTGTGTGTGTGTGCGTGCGTGCACGCCCGTGCGCGTGCATGCTGGTACTGAGCTTTGAACTCAGGTATCATGCTTCCCTTCAGCTTTTTTTTTTTTTTATACCCGGCCTCTCCCCCCCCCCCCTCAGCTTTTTCACTCCAGGCTGGCCCTCTCCCACTTGATCTTTCAGCTCTACTTCAGGAACTAAGATTTGTCTGCCTGGACTGGCTTTGCATTTTTTTGTTTTGCTTGTTTTGGAGATGCTGGGGTTTAAACTCATGGCCTTGTGCTTGCTAGGCAGGTGTTCTACTACTTGAGTCATGCCCCAGCCCAGGTTTTTTGTTTTGGCACTACTAGCAGTTGATATCAGGGCCTCCCACTTGCTAGGCTGAGCCTCACCTTTAGCCCCCAGCCCAGGTTTTCTAATTTTAGAAAAGGCTATAAGCCAGGCCTTACATATGGCTAAATGAGATGTTGAAGAGAATGTGGACAGAGAAAAGGTGTAAGGATGAAGTCCTGAGTTACTCCAGCGTCAGGAGTGGAGATATGAGGTAGAAACAGCAAATGGCACTGGAAAGGAAAGGGAAGACATGGAACTGGAGGTGTGGCTCAAGGGGTAGAATGCCAGCTATGAGTGAAAAAATTGAGTGAGAATAGGGGGCCGGCCCTCAGTTCACGCCCCAGTAAAAGAAAGGAAAGAAGAGCAGAGAATGGAAAAAGAAAGAGAGTGAATAACTTTGTAACACATGGTAAGTCTATATGAAGGCAGCATAGAAAAACAACCAAAGCTTATGACCAAAGGAGAAGCAGGGAAAATAGACTTTGTAGGTAGGTAGAGAATAGCAGGAAGGGTGTTGCTAGTAAAAGGGAAAAGGAGGTTAAATACTGTTGAAATAGATTATTTGCAACTATGAAAACAAAACAAGGAAACTTGTTGATGATACTATTTTTTGTGGTGGGGTGTGGACAAGAGAATGTGATAGAGGGAGTAAAATTGATTAAAATATAGTATAAATATGTAGAGATGTAACAATGAAACACTCCCCCCTCATAACTAATATAAGCCAATTTTTTTTTTTTTGGTAAAGGACGAAAACAAGGACAGTGTGACAGTGTAGTAATTCTGGATACCAAGTGAGAAATTACTACTAATTTGTAAATCCTTCTCCGAAGGAGAATTTCATGCTAGATTAAATCAGTGAAATGGAAATTCAGAAAGATTTGGCGAAATGAATAACATAGTTATTACTCTTTTTTTGTACCCTATAGAAAGAAGATCTGGACATTGTGTGTGAGAGATTCACAACAAGTAAACTACAGTCCTTTGAGGATTTAGCTACTATTTCTACCTATGGTTTCCGGGGTGAGGTAAGCTAAAGCTTAAAGGAATGTATAAACATTGCGATTACACTATCATTTGTTAGCATGTATTTCTCAACAGAGGTAACTGAGATTAGCCATTCTTTACTTGCTAAATATATCCAGATTTGAATGAACTTCATTAAATTTAGCTTTCTAGTTTATAAACTGAGAATTGTTCATAAATTCTTTATGCATTATGCATAAATTCTTTATGCATAAACTATTTTGTGAGATCTTGGGTATTATGTGTCTCTTGATAGAAGTACTGAAAATCAACTATGAAGCTTTCCTATAAAAAGTCAAATATGGGAAGTGGTGCTGTGGCTCAAGTGGTAGTGTGCTAGCCTTGAGCTGAAGAGCTGAGGGACAGCGCCCAGGCCCAGAGTTCAAGCCCCACCACTGACAAAAAAAAAAAGAAGAGAAAAATCAAATATGATTAGATTAAGTCTTAATTATAGAAAATACAAAGGACAGGAAAGCATAGTAAATGATACAGAGATTAAAAAACTATATGACAAGCCAGGTGGCTATAATACTAGCTATCTCAGAGGGCTGAGGATTTCAGAGGATCAAGGTTCAAAGCCAGTCCAGGCAGAAAAGTTGGTGATGCTCCCTCAGCAAAATAACCAGCAAAATGCCAGCTGGAGTGGTAGAGCACCAGCTGAGAGAAAAAAGCCCAGAGAGGTCAAGGCAGCCAAGTCAAGCCCTGGTTTAAAAAACAAAAACAAAAACTACCTGACAAGGCTTTGAACATGTAAGCTGCAAGGGAAGGGAATAGGAGCTATAGATAAAGAGAATATCACCCAGCTTGACAAGGAAGATTTATTAAGAGATTTCTTTGTGCTAGCTAGAGTTCTCAGCACTGTATATTAGTTCTTTCTTTTGGTAATAGCAGGCAGGCGGGCGGGCGGGCAGGCAATAGCTGGGCACAAGTGGCTCATGCCTGTAATCCTAGCTACTCAGGAGGCTGAGAGCTGAGGATTGCAACTCACTACCAGCCTGGGCAGGAAAGTCCATGAGACCTTTATTTCCAATTAACCACCACAAAATCAGAAGTAGAGCACTCGCCTTGAGCTGAAGAGCTAAAAAACAGCACCCAGGCCCAGAGTTCAAGCCCCACAACTGAGAGAGAGAGAGACAGAGGGAGGGAGAAGGAGAAATGTGATAATGGGCAGAAGGAAATGAACCCAGGCACTTTTACTCAAAAGTCTGTGTTCCTTTATACTTATTCTACCAGTGAAATCATCCCTGAAGCAGTAGGACCATCTGCTGTGTCATGTGATATGATATTCTCTCCTCCTGCCATGGTGTAATATTGTCCTCTGCATACTTTATGTTCTTCCTCATATGAGTTGCTAAGGCATGTATAAATTTTTGTTGGGGGGGGCGGGAGGCAGTCCTGGAGCTTGAACTCAGGGCCCGAGCTTCTTTAACTCAAAGCTAGCACTCTACCACTTGAGCCATGGCGCCATTTCCAGCTTTTTCTGAGTAGTTTATTGGAGATAAACTACCTAGGCTGCCTAGGCTGGCTTCTAACCACAGTCCTCCAATCTCAACCTCTTGAGTAGCTAGGATTACAGGCATGAGCCACCAGCACCTAGATTATTTATATTTCAATGATGAAAATTATATAACTGGAGGAAATTGAGCTATGAGCAAGTAATCTCTAAACCCAAGTCATTCCTTTTTTTGTTTGAGACAGGATTTTATTATATAGTGCAGGTTGATTTCAAATTCCTAGGTTCAGGCAATTCTGCCTCCCAAACAGCAATGTTCCTTTTTTATACAGTGTGTTGGTGTTTGCATGCCATCACACAGATGGCATTCTAGCTCAGCTGTAGGATTGCATCTTTGCATACTATGTGTAGTATCCTTTGTGTGAGATGAAAGACATAACAGATCCCAAAGAAAACCAGTTTCAGAGGTAAACTGAAAATATGGTCACTGGTTTGGAAATATTTTACTGAGATTTGAAATAAAGGGTCTCACTTGCCCTATCTAGTTATTTTTTTTTTTTAGAGAGAAGCCAAAATAAACTTTTTGTTGTTGTAGTAAGTTTGTCATTTTAGGTATTTGTTATAGTAAAGGAAAGCTCCCTAACACAGTATCTTCCTTTCTACCACATGAATTAGAGTTGCTGTTAACACACTGTTTGGTGTGCTTCCTTTGATATTTTTATTTATTTATTTTTGGGTCTGGTCATGGGGCCTGAACTCTGGGCCTGGGTGCTGTTCCTTAGCTCTTCAGCTCAAGGCTAGCACTCTACCATTTGAGCCACGGTGCCACTTCCGGCTTTTTTTTTCTGCTTATGTGGTGCTGAGGAATCGAACCCAGGGCCTCAGGCATGCAGGCAAGCGCTCTACCACTGAGCCACCTTCCCAGCCCCCCTTTGATACTTTTATGTATATTTTGATCTTATTCGTGTTGATGCTACAGATTTCATTTTATATCCTTTAAAAAAAAAACATCATCTAAGTGCTCGTTGTTGACACAGGTTAACATAGAGAAGTAGTTTGGATAACCCATTGATGAGATGACGACAGTGGGGGACCCAACCCATAATTTTCTTTCATCCCATTTCCTTTTTTATCCCAGGCATTGGCCAGCATAAGCCATGTAGCACATGTTACAATTACAACCAAAACAGCTGATGGGAAGTGTGCATACAGGTATAGTACTTCTGAAAGGTACCTATGCTTGTTCTCAATGTAATCCTACCTAAATATTGGTGCAATCTGTTTTTGGTTGAGATTTTGATGGAGTTCTCTTTCCTTCCTATAGATAAATTGATAATCCAAAGGGATGACTATTAGGTTGTACTTTTATTTCATGGCTTCTGAAATGATAAGATGCAACATGCCTAGAATCTAGCCAGGTGCTTATTATATGTAGGTAGTCTGAGTAAATGGTAACAACTGGTGTTACTTCTACCCCTTTGCCCTTCAGTAGGTTATCCCTTTGGGCTGATTATAGAACTGTGAGTAATTCACTGAAGACTCACCATCAACTGTCCCCTAAGCTACCAGTCCCCTCCAACTCCTACCCCAGCTTCTGCATATCTGGGCTGCTTGCTTTTCAGTAAATGGCTGCTCGCTGGCAGCTGTGCTCACGGCACTTTTTCTAGAGACTGATGAATAGCCTTGGGTGGAGCAAAAATAAGATTTAAAGTCAAAAATCGTACCTTTGTTTTTATAAGCATTGGCTGTTCACTAGTTGAAGTCAGGTAATACCTAATTCAGGTCAAAACAAAACAAGAACAAAAAGAAAAAAAAAGCATACACATAAGCATACAAAGGATTTTTTAAAATTAAATTTTATTTTTGCCAGTCCTGGGGCTTGAACTAATGGCCTAGGTACTGTTCCTGGGCCTCTTTGTGCTCAAGGCTAGCACTCTACCTCTTGAGCCACAGCACCACTTCCAGCTTTTTCTGAGTTTATTGGAGATAAGATTTTTGCAGACTTTTCTCCCCTGGCTGGCTTTAGACTCAGCCCCCTGAGTAGTTAGTATTACAGGTGTGACCCACTGGCGCCTGGCTTTTTTTTTTTTTTTTGCAAATGATTTTATTGAAATTGAGTAATAATGTATTTCTATACTGAGGCCCACCCTCCTCAATCCATTTCCCACTATCTAGAAGCACAAAGCTTGCACAGTAATTAAAAGAAGAAAATAATTCTTTTATTGTTTTTTTCCTCCTTTCTTCTCTGCCAAGTGGGGAGCTCTAGTGATTTTCCTTGACCAATCTTGCAGGGGGAAAATACTATAAGGGAAAGGTGATTGGTTCCTTACTTCTCAAGACTGCAGCTCTAGTGTGTGGTTTCTTACCATAAAATGGTCCTTCCCAAACTGGAGAGAAGGGGCTGGTGCAAATGTAAGAATTAGAATAGGTGGCTTGAGACAGCTCCACCATGGGCACAGGCATCCACATCCTGTCCTGGCCCTGGCTTGTCCTCTCTTATCTGAGGGGAGGTCAACAAATGGTTGTGGTGGGAACAGATCAGCCCAGCCCTGCCTGAAAAGCCTCCCACACCAGTCTTCATTCCTTTTAACAGCTGGTCAGCTGTTCAGCCCAGAATGCGAACAAATGGCAAGTAGGCAGGAAGAATCAAGCTGATGCTGGCCCCACTTCTGTCCTATACAGGAGGAATCCAGTAGCAAACAGCTGAAATGCTCCCACTTAGGGGAGTAAGAGAAGTGAGGGAAAGGTTTCCACTGAGTTCAGCTTCTCTTGCTCTCACAGTAACTGCTAATGGGGCAGGGCCCCGGGCAGGCTTGGAAGAATGCAAGCCAGGCAAGGACCAGGCATTCCTGAGCAACATATGACCTGCCATGCTTCTTGCAGAAGTAGCTGGGAGGGTGGACTGGTAACTCTGATTAACCTTCCACAGCCACCAACCCACTCCTTGCCTACAAATATCCCATTGCCCTGTTAACACCAGAGGACTGCCTCGCTCACAGCTGAAGGTTCTAGGCCAAGCGAATTTATTCAGGATTGTGGCCACAGCCTGGACCTCCTCAGTGGAAGTCAGGCCTGGAGCCTGGGCTGCCTTGCTGGGACACCCACCAGCCTCCAGGAGGGTTCGAGGGAAGGCGGAGGGATCTTACCACCTCAGCTTGGCCGCGCATTCTTGGTGAGGATTGTGTCCTCATAGAACTCATGACCCAGATCCCCATTTCGTCATAGAATGGGATACCAAGGGTGACCCCGCGCGGGAACTGCCCCCCAGAGCTTGCTTAGTGCCCGCCACCTCCGGGCCGCCGGGCCGCCCCCCCGGCCTCTACCGCCCAGGTGTCGGGCGAGGGGCCGCGTTGGAGCCACCATTGGAGCCACCGGAGCCCGAGTTTGGGCTGCCGGCCTGTGACATAACCTGCTGCCACCGGGTTCTCACCTTGCAGTGGACGCCATGTCCTGGCCATGCTCCTGCTCCTGCCCCTGCTCCCGCCCCCGCCCCGTGCCCGGCCCC